TCCTGCTGGGCAGAATGACACGTCTGTCGTTCAAAAAGCAGGTTCCAGGCCAGCACCCAGAATCAGAATGTTTTTTATGCTCATATTAGTAAATAAAATTTCAGCCCATTTCTGGAATTCATAATACTCTGAAAACTATATTTTCTGATCCCAGATCAGATCATCAGATCAGACATAAGATCTGACAATTGGGACAAAAATATTTAAAATCAGGGTTGTCCCAGAAAAGCCAGGATGTGTGGATCCAGGATTTGTGCTCACTACCTGAGATTTTAATCTTTGCCTTAAAACCAGAGAAAGAGGCAATGGTAAGAGTGATAACACCTGTTATCACATATAGGAAAACTGAGGCAGAGAAAGGCTGCAACTTACCCAATATCATTTACAGAACAGGAGAATACTCAAACCCTTCGAAAAACAGCCAGTTAGAAATAGAACGACCCTTTCCAAAGGCCAAAGCCCTTTAGCTCTCTTGATACTCTGGTCATTGAAAACTCAAAACATGGGGAAACCCCATGGAAACCCCACAAAATAAAAACCAGACATTCGCTGATATAATGGTAGACTCCAAATCAAGTGCTAAATAGCAAAGTCATTGTGTGAGGACCCACAGAGTCCTAAGGGTTAGGATGGAGGTCTTGGCGTTAGAGTCCTGGGCACCGACAGGAAGTAGAATGAGCAAGGAAGTTGAGAGATGGGGGTTGGGGGGATTTTAGGACTACCTTTAATTCAGTGTATTTGAACATGCTGAGAATCTCATCAGCTTGCAATTTATTTATTTATTTTGAAATTCAGCCACATTTTAAATCTAAACATATTATTTCTCATTGAATGAAAGATTCTTTAAATTCTGTAGTGCTCTACAACTGGCAAAATTTCACACACATGATTTCATATAATCCCATAATAACCCTTTTTTTTTCTCCTACTCCAATCTTGCCCCTCCCCTCTTCCTTCCCCCCACTGGTAACCACTAGTTTGTCCTCTATGTCTGTGCATCTGCTTCGTTTTTGTTTTATTCACTAGTTTGTTGTATTTTTTAGATTCTACATGTAAGTGATATTATACAGTACTTGTCTTTCTCTGTGTCAGCTTGCAATTAGAAATTGTTGTGGGCTTCAGGGATCTGGCAAAACTGGGGCATGTCGAATCCAAGTTCGTGTGCCCCATGCACAGTGAAGCCGAACAAACCGAAATGTTGGGGTTTGGAGCAGAGAAAGTTTTATTGCAAGGGCAAGGCAAAGAGAACAGGTGGCTTATGCTCAAGAACCAAACTCTCCCCAATAGGTAATAGGGAAGCATTTTTTTTTTTTTTTTTTTTTTT